CGTTTATTGATAATGTTAAAAATATGAATCCCACGACGACGCACGGAAATACGGCAGTGCGTTTCTAGGACGTTGGCGAGCGTCGGAAGCGGATAAAAATCGCGCGGAGGAACGCGTCTCTTAACAGTGACGTGTAAAAGGGCATCGAAATGTCAATTCGCCACTCAGTGTTGCGTATGGTAATTGCGTGCAGATTAAGTGGGTGTTTTACCGCATGATGTTGCCAGGCATTTAAAAGCGACGCTTATGACACAGGCGACGACATTCTTTTCCGCGTGCTCTTTGCGGAATGCGCGGCGGGGCCGTGATCCGCCGGCGCGAGCTGATTAATTACTCGATTAAATGAGAGACAGTCGAATTACGGAATTACGTCGATTATATGGACGTAATACTCGAGCGGCTTAATCGCCCTCCTCGTTGTTGTTACCTCGTTGTTACCGTATAATCAATGTGTGTGACCCGAGCGAAATCGGAACAACAACGTAACTAATCCGCCTCTTAATTACTTTGCGCACAGCGCACGATTCGTAACTGTTCCGTGAAACTTTGAGAGCGGCGATGTTTTGTTTAACGTCCCAACTGTCAAACAGAAATATCAAACATCCTCGAAATTTCCCCGCGCGGCTGTTTTTACCTTTAGTAATTAATTGAACAGTATATCGAGACGTATTAATGATATGAACAGCAAGAAAAAATTTGTGGAAAGGCCTCGAGTGTGTCGGCCAATTATTAATTATAGCTGATTAAGTATCGATATTAACACTACTATTTGTAAAAAAGTATCCTGTTGATTCCGCGTGTCAAAGACGCGTGTGTGCGTAATACGACCGCGTGTCAATTCGTTCGAATCGCGCGAGATTTTTCTCGACTGTGCACAAAGCCGCAATTATTCAATACGAGATAGCAATTGCAGGATGCGCGCGATGATCTCAGAAAGATCGCGATATGTCGCGCGATGTGGAGCGAACGGGGCTCGTAGACGTTGCGTGTGGTTAAACGATCAAGGCGCGATCGGATCGGGAGGGATCGTTGCGTACGCATTCGGTGAATGCAAGTCGCGCGGATGAACAGCAAAGCCGGGAAGAGGCACGTATTGTGCTCGTGCAAGTTTACTCGCGCGTGGCGTGTGGCGTTAATTAATGCGCGAAACGTGGCGCTGTCCATCGCGCTTGTCCATCGTGCTTGTCCAAACGCATCTCTCCACGCCGAGATTAGGAGGAGTCGGATAAGAGAGATAAAGGGGCGCACATCGCGATAAAATCTCCATACGCCGCGATTCCGAGATGAAACAATTCTGAATGGATATCCGTTGAAACAAAAGAGAAGGAACGCGTGTGCTGTTACACACTCGCAAAAATAAAACGAAACGCCTAGAGATATTTTTTCCGTGCGACAAACGTCGAATCGAGAAAAAAATTTTTTTTCTTTTACGATAGATAATTATAATTTTAGCGAAATTTAGTAATAACAAATGAAACATAAAGGGGGGGTGAAATATTTTCTGCGCGTGCAAATACGTTTTATCGTATATCTGCATAAAACGAGAATCGAATAAATTATTCAGTTTTGGCCGAGTCGAATTTCCTGGTAGAATTATTTTAGCAAATTATTTCGATTCCATCCAATAACGTGTTTTACATATTCGTATCGTGTTTATATCGTGAAATATGCTTGTACCGTTGTAACGTTTTACGATTTCACGTCCACGACGGTGTCGGTGCCGGTATGTATTTCTCATATGCGACGTGTGATAAATTTTTACGTTATTGCGTTTGCCATTTATTTTCGGACGGTGAAGTCGTAGCGTGGCGCATCGCTCCTACCGTTCGAAAATCATCTGCGCGAGCGATAATTTTCAGACGGACGGTACACATAACGCAGATCGGCGTAAGCGTAAAGATAGCGGTCTCCGAAAATAACGATGCGACGATGTGACAGGAAACGTAACGCAACTAGGTCGCAAGTTCATCAGTGCTAATTATTGCTAATCGGGACATCCCGGGACGGCCGAGATATTTCCACGAGAATCTGCGTCTTGTCGCTTTCGCTTTTACAGATGATAAAGTCGACATCGAACTTTAATTATCATTCGATCATCGATCGAAATTTATCAGCACGAAAATTTTAGAAAGAAGAAACTGACGCGTATTAAAATGAATTGAATTTGAGCTTGACCACGAGATTGAATTAATTTCATATATTTTTATATATAAGATATAAATATATTAAATAAATATTATTTTATAAAATAAAATATTTCATATATTTTTTGATTATTTTACACGTTGATATCCGCTTTATAACGACAAAAAAAAAATGACTAATATTTTTGGAGATTAAAATATAAAACTGACGGTTTGCAACGTTTTAAACGATCTAGTTTGACTACTTTTATCCGATAGTTTTGATCAGCCGCGCGTTACAGATAGCTGATTAATAAAACATAAACAAATTTGCATAAAATATTCGTTATTTATGTCAGATCGAATTGTTTATGTATTTTATTCATAAAAATATGAATTTTTTTAAAAATAAAAGAAGAGCGCAGAAACTTTCGCAAGAGAAAATATTGTTTTTTAATTCGAGTTTTATTATCAGAATGGAAACTGTGTATTTTGCTGATAAATTTCTCATGACTTTATAAGCTTTTATCTTACAAACGCTTCCGTGAACTTTATTTATTGCAGAATAAGTCATAACAAGACTGATTGATACATGATATGATTATACATGATTATACATCAAGTATAAATTTAACGATTTCAAGTCAAACATTTAACAAAATAATAATAATAAGGAAAATCTAACATCGTCGTTTTCGTTGAATATTCGTGAAATATTCGTACTCGTAATTTTTTTAGCGCGCAACATCCCCGAGGGAATTTTAATACCACCGAGCTTCAAGCCTAAAATTTGCGTCAAAGCCTTTGCTTACCGTTGTTGAACATAATGTCTGGAGAAAATTCGATAATTTTATGAGACAACAAGTAGTCCAGAAGAACTGTATCTGGCCCTTGTGCTTACCGTACCGTGGCACGAGTTACACGACCGACCTCCTGGTACCGTATCGGATTATACACATCGTTCTGAAAGTAGTAAAAGCAATGTAGGACCTCGGTAGGTGGTCGAAAGGCAGAGATGAGGTCGGCTTTTCGCTCCAGTAATCGCGAATCGTTTGTTGTACAAGATGATACCTTAAGGAGGTTCGATATTCTTTTCTACCTGATATTCTTTCCGCGAATACGTGTCAACTCTTCGATTTTCTCACAAATATACGCCACGTATATCTAACGCAGATCATAAGCTATGGACAGGTTTCATAAATATTGATCAACGTCGATATGATTCTCAATATCTTGTTCTAAAGACGAAATTAGAAAACGATTTAGCAGAGACAGCGTTTAACCATTTATCCAATACGCGATTCCGATATTCAATTTAATAGCTTTTTGACGTTCCTTATATTACATATTTTATATAAAGTCTAGATATATATATATATATATATATATATATATATATATATATTATTATA